GAAGCTGTGGAGGGGATTTGGGTGCCCATTTTTGGGGTTTTTCACCCCAATTTTTGGGATTTTAGGTGAAACCCCACAGGCGAGAAGCTGTGGAGGGGATTTGGGTGCCCATTTTTGGGGTTTTTCACCCCTCAATTTTTGTGATTTTAGGTGAAACCCACGGACGAGAAGCTGCGGAGGGGATTTGGGTGCCCATTTTTGGGGTTTTTCACCCCAATTTTTGGGATTTCAGATAAAACCCACGGACGAGAAGCTGTGGAGGGGATTTGGGTGCCCATTTTTGGGGTTTTTCACCCCAATTTTGGGATTTTTAGGTGGTGAAACCCACGGACGAGAAGCTGTGGAGGGGATTTGGGTGCCCATTTTTGGGGTTTTTCACCCCAATTTTTGGGATTTTAGGTAAAACCCACAGGCGAGAAGCTGTGGAGGGGATTTGGGTGCCCATTTTTGGGGTTTTTCACCCCAATTTTTGGGATTTTAGGTAAAACCCACAGGCGAGAAGCTGTGGAGGGGATTTGGGTGCCCATTTTTGGGGTTTTTCACCCCAATTTTTGGGATTTTAGGTGAAGCCCACAGACGAGAAGCTGCGGGAGCTGCAGGGGTGGGTTTTAACCCCATTTTGGGGGTTTTTCACCCCAATTTTTGGGATTTTAGGTGAAGCCCACGGACGAGAAGCTGCGGGGAGCTGCGGGGGGCCAAGCTGGTGATCGATGTGATTCGCTACGAGCCCCCCCACATCAAGAAGGCGCTGCAGTTCGCGTGCGGCAACGCCCTGGTGTGCGACAACGTCGAGGACGCGCGCAGGATCGCCTTCGGGGGCCACCAGCGGCACAAGGTGCCCCCAAATCACCCCAAAAATATCCTAAAATTATCCTAAAATTATCCTCAAAGCAGCCCAAAACAGCCCCATGGCCTTCGGGGGCCACCAGCGGCACAAGGTGCCCCAAATCACCCCAAAAAACTGCCAAAATCACCCCAAAAATACCCTAAAATTATCCTAAAATTATCCTCAAACCAGCCCAAAAACAGCCCCATGGCCTTCGGGGGCCACCAGCGGCACAAGGTGCCCCCAAATCACCCCAAAAACTGCCAAAATCACCCCAAAAATACCCTAAAAATATCCTAAAATTATCCTCAAACCAGCCCAAAACAGCCCCATGGCCTTCGGGGGCCACCAGCGGCACAAGGTGCCCCCAGATCACCCCAAAATTATCCTAGAATCACCCCACAAATACTCTAAAAATAGCCTGAAACTGCTCCAAGACTACCCCAAAAATACCTTAAAAGTCGGCTTGAAAATACCCCAGAAATACCCTAAAAATGGCCTGAAATCACCCCCAAAACCAGCCCCAAACTGCCCCCCAAAACTGACCTGAAAATACCCCCCAAAAGTGCCCCAAAATCACCTCAAAAATACACAAAAATCCACCCCAGAAATACCCTAAAAATGGCCTGAAATCACCCCCAAAAATACCCTAAAAAAACAGCCTTAAGTCACCCCAAAGGCAGCCCCCAGTGTGTCCCCAGTGTGTCCCCAGTGTGTCCCCAGTGATGTCCCCAATGTCCCCACAGACGGCCCTCGACCCTTGATGGGGACGCTGTTCCAGCGGTCCGTGGGTGTCCCCCAATGTCCCCAGTGATGTCCCCCACAGATGGTGGCCCTGGACAGGACACCCTGTTCCAGAAGTTCATGGTGTCCCATGGTGTCCCCCAATGTGTCCCCAATGTCCCCAGTGTGTCCCCAGTGTCCCCACAGACGGTGACCCTGGACAGGACCCTGTTCCTGCAGTCCATGGTTGGCTCTGGGTGTCCCCAATGTCCCCAATGTCCCCACAGACGGTGGCCCTGGACGGCACGCTGTTCCAGGAGTCGGGGGTGTCTCAGTGATGTCCCCAATGATGTCCCCAGTGTCCCCAATGGATGTCCCCAATGTCCCTGTTGGTGTCCCCACAGATGGTGGCCCTGGACGGGACCCTGTTCCAGAAGTCTGGGGTTACTCTGGATGTCCCCAGTGTCCCTGTTGATGTCCCCAGTGTCCCTGTTGATGTCCCTGTTGATGTCCCCATGGATGTCCCCAATGTCCCCACAGACGGTGGCCCTGGACGGGACGCTGTTCCAGAAGTCGGGGTGTCCCATGGATGTCTCCAATGATGTCCCCAGTGTCCCCACAGACGGTGGCCCTGGACGAGACCCTGTTCCAGAAGTCCATGGTGTCCCATGGATGTCCCCAATGATGTCCCCAATGTCCCCTCAGACAGTGACCCTGGACAGGACCCCTGTTCCTGCAGTCCATGGTTGGCTCTGGGTGTCCCCCAATGTCCCCAATGATGTCCCCACAAGACGGTGGCCCTCGATGGGACCCTGTTCCAGAAGACGAGGGTGTCCCATGGATGTCCCCAGTGATGTTCCCAATGATGTCCCCAATGGTGTCCCCAATGTCCCCAATGATGTCCCCAATGTCCCCATTGGTGTCCCCCACAGATGGTGGCCCTGGACGGGACGCTGTTCCAGCAGTCCATGGTTGGCTTTGGGTGTCCCCAATGTCCCCATGGATGTCCCCAATGTCCCCACAGACGGTGGCCCTCGATGGGACGCTGTTCCAGGAGTCGGGGGTGTCTCAGTGATGTCCCCAATGATGTCCCCAATGTCCCCAATGATGTCCCCCAATGATGTCCCCAATGTCCCCACAGACGGTGGCCCTCGATGGGACGCTGTTCCAGAAGTCGGGGGTGATCTCGGGCGGTGCCAGTGACCTCAAGGCCAAGGCTCGGCGCTGGGGGGAAGCGAAGAAAAGCCGTGGACAAGCTCAAGGAGAAGAAGGAGAGGCTGACGGAGGAGCTCAAGGTGGGAGCCCAGAACTGACCCTAAAAACCCAAAACTGACCCCAGAAACCCAAAACCGAGCCTAAAGCTGAGTCTGAAACCCAAACCTGAGCCTAAATCCCAAACCTGACCCTAAAACTGACCCTAAAACCCAAAACTGACCCTAAAACTGACCCTAAAACCTCAAACCTGACCCCAGAAACCCAAAACTGACCCTAAACTGACCCTAAAACCCAAAACTGACCCCAGAAACCCAAAACTGACCCTAAACTGACCCTAAAACCCAAAACTGACCTAAAAACCCAAAACTGACCCTAAAACCCAAAACTGACCCTAAAACCTCAAACCTGAGCTTAAATCCCAAATCTGACCCTAAAACCCAAAACTGACCCCAAAACTGACCCTAAAAACCCAAAACTGACCCCAGAAACCCAAACCGAGCCTAAAGCTGAGTCTGAAACCCAAACCTGAGCCTAAATCCCAAACCTGACCCTAAAACTGACCCCTAAAACCCAAAACTGACTCTAAACTGACCCTAAAACCTCAAACCTGACCCCAGAAACCCAAAACTGACCCTAAACTGACCCTACAAACCCAAAACTGACCCTAAAACTGACCCTAAAACCCAAAACTGACTCTAAACTGACCCTAAAACCCAAAACTGACCCTAAAACTGACCCTAAAACCCAAAACTGACCCTAAACTGACCCTAAAACCCAAAACTGACCCTAAAACCCAAAACTGACCCTAAACTGACCCTAAAACCCAAACCTGAGCCTAAATCCCAAATCTGACCCTAAAACCCAAAACTGACCCTAAAACCTCAAACCTGACCCCAGAAACCCAAAACTGACCCTAAACTGACCCTAAAACCCAAAACTGACCCTAAAACCCCAAACTGACCCTAAAACTGACCCTAAAACCTCAAACCTGAGCCTAAATCCCAAACCTGACCCTAAAACCCCAAACTGACCCCACACAAGCTCAAGGAGAAGAAGGAGAGGCTGACGGAGGAGCTCAAGGTGGGACCCCAAAACTGACCCCAAAACTGACCCTAAAACCCAAAACTGACCCTATAGACCCAAAACTGACCTCAAAACTGAGCCCAAAAACCAAAACCCGAGCCTAAACTGAGCCTAAAACCCAAAACTGACCCTAAAACCCCCAAAGTGACCCCAAACAAGCTCAAGGAGAAGGAGCAGCTGAGCGAGGAGTTCAAGGCGGGACCCCAAAACTGAGCCCTAAAACCCAAACCTGACCCCAGAAACCCAAACCTGACCCCAAAAACCCAAACCTGACCCCAGAAACCCAAACCTGACCCCGAAAACTCAAACCTGACCCCGAAAACTCAAACCTGACCCCAAAAACTCAAACCTGACCCTAAAACTGAGCCTAAAAACCCAAACCTGACCCCAGAAACCCAACCTGACCCCGAAAACTCAAACCTGACCCTGAAACTGGCCCCAAAAACCCAAACCTGACCCCAAAAACCCAAACCTGACCCCAAAAACCCAAACCTGACCCCAAAAACTCAAACCTGACCCCAAAAACTCAAACCTGACCCTAAAACTGAGCCTAAAAAACCCAAACCTGACCCCCAGAAACCCAAACCTGACCCCGAAAACTCAAACCTGACCCTGAAACTGAGCCCAAAAACCCCAAACCTGACCCCAAAAACCCAAACCTGACCCCGAAAACTCAAACCTGACCCCAAAAACCCAAACCTGACCCCGGAAACCCAAACCTGACCCCAGAAACCCAAACCTGACCCCAAAAACCCAAACCTGACCCCAGAAACCCAAACCTGACCCTAAAACTGAGCCTAAAAACGCAAACTTGAGGCTAAAACCCCAAAGTGACCCCAAACAAGCTCAAGGAGAAGAAGGAGAGGCTGACGGAGGAGCTCAAGGTGGGACCCCAGAACTGAGCCCCAAAACCCAGAACTGAGCCCAAACTGAGCCTAAAACCCAAACCTGAGCCTAAAACTCAAACCTGAGCCTAAAAACCACACTGGCCCCAAAAGGGACCCTGAATTTTCCCGTTTTTCTCCCATTTTCCCAAATTCCCAGGTTTTCTCCCCAATCCAGGAGCAGATGGAGGCCGAGCGCAAGGAGGCCGAGCTGCGCCCCCAAATTCCCATTTTTTCCTCATTTTTTCCTCATTTTTTCCTCATTTTTTCCTCATTTTTTCCTCATTTTTTCCTCATTTTTTTCCCATTTTTCCCCAATTTTTTCCCCATTTCCCCCCATAATTCCCAAAATTCTCATTTTTCCCCATTTCTCCTGACTTTTCCCCCATTTTTCCCCACTCCAGGAGCAGATGAAGGCCAAGCGCAAGGAGGCCGAGCTGTGCCCCCCAAATTCCCATTTCTTCCTCATTTTTTCCTCATTTTTTTTCCCGTTTTTTTCCCAATTTTTTCCCCATTTTCCTCCATTTCCCCCATAATTCCCAAAATTCTTATTTGTTCCCATTTTTCTCCCAGATTTTCCCAAATTTCTCCTTTTTTTCCCCCTGCAGGAGCAGATGAAGGCCAAGCACAAGGAGGCCGAGCTGCGCCCCCAAATTCCCATTTTTTCCTCATTTTTTCCTCATTTTTTCCTCATTTTTTCCTCATTTTCCCCCATTTTCCCCCCATAATTCCCATTTTTACCCTGAATTTCCCCAAAAACCCCAATTTTTTTCCTGAATTTTCCCCCTTTTTTCCCCCATTCAGGAGCAGATGAAGGCCAAGTGCAAGGAGGCCGAGCTGCGCCCCCAAATTCCCATTTTTCCTCATTTTTCCCTCATTTTTTCCTCATTTTTTTTCCCAATTTTTTCCCCAATTTTTCCCCATTTCCCCCCATTTCCCCCCCATAATTCCCAAAATTCTCATTTTTCCCATTTTTCCTGACTTTTTCCCCATTTTCCCCCATTCAGGAGCAGATGAAGGCCAAGCACAAGGAGGCCGAGCTGTGCCCCCAAATTCCCATTTTTTCCTCATTTTTTTCCCAATTTTTTCCCAATTTCCCCCCATTTTTCCCCTGAATTTCCTCAAAAATCCCATTTTTTTTCCTCAATTTCCCATTTTTCCTGATTTTCCCCCATTTTTTCCCCACTCCAGGAGCAGATGAAGGCCAAGTGCAAGGAGGCCGAGCTGTGCCCCCAAATTCCCATTTTCCCTCATTTTTTCCTCATTTTTTTCCCGTTTTTTCCCCAATTTTTTCCCTATTTCCCCCCATAATTCCCGTTTTTTCCCATTTTTCTCCCAGATTTTCCTGATTTTCCCCTTTTTTTCCCAATTCCAGAAGCAGATGAAGGCCAAGCGCAAGGAGGCCGAGCTGCGCCCCCAAATTCCCATTTTTCCTCATTTTTTCCTCATTTTTTTCCCATTTTTCCCCAATTTTTTCCCCATTTCCCCCCATAATTCCCAAAATTCTCATTTTTTCCCATTTTTCCTGACTTTTTCCCCATTTTCCCCCATTCAGGAGCAGATGAAGGCCAAGTGCAAGGAGGCCGAGCTGTGTCCCCAAATTCCCATTTTTCCCCTCATTTTTTCCTCATTTTTTTCCCCGTTTTTTCCCCAATTTTTTCCCTATTTCCCCCCCATAATTCCCGTTTTTTCCCATTTTTCTCCCAGATTTTTCTGATTTTTCCCCTTTTTTTCTCCAATTCCAGGAGCAGATGAAGGCCAAGTGCAAGGAGCCCGAGCTGCGCCCCCAAATTCCCATTTTTCTCATTTTTCCCTCATTTCTTCCTCATTTTTTCCTCATTTTTTTCCCAATTTTTTTCCCATTTCCCCCCATTTTCCCCCCATAATTCCCAAAATTCTCATTTTTCCCATTTCTCCTGACTTTTTCCCCATTTTCCCCCCCTGCAGGAGCAGATGAAGGCCAAGCGCAAGGAGCCCGAGCTGCGCCCCCAAATTCCCATTTTTCCCTCATTTTTTCCTCATTTTTTTCCCTATTTCCCCCCATAATTCCCATTTTTTCCCATTTTCCTCCCAGATTTTCCTGATTTTCCCTTTTTTCCCCATTCCAGGAGCAGATGAAGGCCAAGCGCAAGGAGGCCGAGCTGCGCCAGGTGCAGTCCCAGGCCCACGGGCTCCAAATGCGCCTCAAATATTCCCAGAGTGACCTGGAGCAGACCAAGACCCCGGCACCTGGCACTGAACCTGCAGGTGGGACACCGGCTTTGGGGGGAAAAAAAGAGATTTTGGGAAAAAATCCAAAATTTGGGGAAAAAAATCCGAAATTTGGGGAAAAAAATCTGAATTTTTGGGGAAAAAATGTGATTTTTTTGGGAAAAAATGTGAGTTTTTTGGGGAAAAAAAGTGAATTTTTTGGGGGAAAAAAATCTGAATTTAAGGAGAAAAAACCGGATTGGGAAATTAAAAAAAAGTGAATTTGGGGGAAAAAAGTGAATTTGGGGACAAAAAATGTCAATTTGGGGGCAAAAAAAAGTGAATTTTTTTGAGAAAATTGTGAATTTTGGAGGAAATTCCCCTGTCGAATATTCCCAAAGCGACCTGGAACTGAAGCTGCGGGTGAGACTCAGATTTGGGTGGAAAAAAGTGGATTTTGGTAAAAAAATGGGAATTTTGGGGACAAAAATCAGAATTTTGGGGGAAAAAAAATCTGAATTTTGGGGGAAATTCCCTCATTAAATGTTCTCAAAGTGACCTGGAACAGACCAAGACCCGGCACCTGGCACTGAACCTGCAGGTGGGACACGGCTTTGGGGGGAAAAAATGAGATTTTGGGAAAAAATCCAAAATTTGGGGAAAAAAATCCAAAATTTGGGGAAAAAAAAATCCAAAATTTGGGGAAAAAAAATCCAAAATTTGGGGAAAAAATCTGAATTTTTGTTGAAAAAATGGGGATTTTCCAGGGAAAAAAGCAAATTTTTGGGGGGAGAGAAACACGAATGTTTTGGAAAAAAAATTCTGGATTTTGGGGTAAAAATGTGGATTTAAAAACAAATGTGAATTTGGGGAGAAAAAGTGAGGTTTTGGAAAAAAAAAATCTGAATTTTGGAGGGAAAAAAGGTGAAATTTTGGGGGAAATTCCCCCATCAAAGGTTCCCAAAGCGACCTGGAACTGAAGCTGCGGGTGAGACTCAGATTTGGGGGGGAAAATGGAATTTGGTAAAAAAACGTGGACGTGGGGGGGAAAAAATTTCCAATTTTTCCCCCATTTCCCCCTCTTTTCTTTCCTCTCCATTTTTCCATTTTTTCTTCATTTTTCTCCATTTTTTTTCAATTTTTTCCAATTTTTTCTCACAAATTTCCCCCTTTTTTCCCACTTTTCCCCATTTTTCTCACAATTTTCCCATTTTTCCCCATTTCCAGGAGAACTCCAAGCTGAAGAGTGAATTTACCAATTTTGAGATTTCAGGGATTGGATTTTGGGGTTCAGGGCTGGATTTTAATCCCATTTTTCCTCCTTTTTTCCCAATTTTTCTCCCAAGTTTTCCCCTTTTTCTTCCTCTTTATTTTTCCCTTTTTTCCCCCATTTTCTTCCCATTTCCCCCCTTTTTTCTCACCATTTCCCCCCTTTTTATTCCTCTTCATTTTTCCATTTTCCCCCATTTTCACCTTGTTATTTTTTTCATTTTTGCCCCCATTTTTTTTTCAAATTTTCCCCATTTTTTTTTCAAATTTTCCCATTTTTTCCCATTTCCAGGAGAAGTCCAAGCTGGAGAGCGAATTTCCAATTTTGGGGTTCCAGGGATTGGATTTTGGGGTTCAGGGCTGGATTTTAATCCCATTTTCCCTTTTTTTTTTCTCCTTTTTCCCCCATTTTTTCTCTCATTTTCCCCAATTTTTTTCCCAATTTTTCTTCCCATTTTCTCACAATTTTCCCCTCTTTTTTTCTCTTTATTTTTCCATTTTTTCCATTTTTCCCTTGGTTTTTTTTTACATTTTTGCCCCTTTTTTCCTCATTTTTTTTCAAATTTTCTCCATTTTTTTTCAAATTTTTCCCAATTTTTCCTATTTTTCTCACATTTTCTCCCCAATTTTCCCCCATTTTTCTCAGAATTTTCCCATTTTTTCCCATTTCCAGGAGAAGTCCAAGCTGGAGAGCGAATTTCCAATTTTGGGGTTCCAGGGATTGGATTTTGGGGTTCAGGGCTGGATTTTAATCCCATTTTTCCCTTTTTTTTCTCCCATTTTTTCTCTCATTTTCCCCAATTTTTTTCCCAATTTTTCTTCCCATTTTCTCACAATTTTCCCCCTCTTTATTTCCTCTTTATTTTTCCATTTTTTCCATTTTTCCCTTGGTTTTTTTTTTTTCATTTTTGCCCCTTTTTTCCTCATTTTTTTTCAAATTTTTCCTTCTTCTCCCTCTTTTCTTTTCTTCTTCCCTCTCTCTCCATTTCTTTTTCAAATTTTTCCCAATTTTTCCTATTTTTCTCACATTTTCTCCCCAATTTTCCCCATTTTTCTCACAATTTTCCCATTTTTCCCCATTTTCCAGGAGAAGTCACATGCTGGAGTGCGAATTTCCAATTTTGGGGTTCCAGGGATTGGATTTTGGGGTTCAGGGCTGGATTTTAATCCCATTTTTCCCTTTTTTTTCTCCCATTTTTTCTCCATTTTTTCCCCAATTCTTTCCCAATTTTTCTTCCCATTTTCTCACAATTCTCCCCCCCATTTTTTCCAATTTTCCCCCCCTTTTTTTCCTCTTTATTTTTCCATTTTTCCCTTGGGTTTTTTTTCATTTTTGCCCCTTTTTTCCCCATTTTTTTTCAAATTTTTCCCCATTTTTTCCCATTTTTCTCACAAATTTCCCCCTTTTTTCCCACTTTTCCCCGTTTTTCTCACAATTTCCCCCAATTTTGCCCATTTCCAGGAGAAGTCCAAGCTGGAGAGCGAGTTGGCCAATTTTGGGCCGCGCATCAACGACATCAAACGAATCATCCAGGGCCGGGAGCGCGAGATGAAGGACCTGAAGGAGAAAATGAACCAGGTCTGGGGCAAATCTGGGGCTTTTTGGGAAAATTCCAGAATTTGGGGGAAAAATCCCCAAAATTTGGCTAAAAAATCCCAATTTTGGGGAAAAAAAATCCCAATTTTTGGCAAAAAAAATCCCAATTTTGGGGAAAAAAATCCCAATTTTTGGGGACAAAAAAAACCACAATTTTTGGGACAAAAAATCCAATTTTTGGGAAAAAAATCCCAATTTTTGGCAAAAAAATTCCAATTTTTGGCAAAAAAAAATCACAATTTTTGGCAAAAATTCCAATTTTTGGGAAAAAAAATCCCAATTTTTGGCAAAAAAATCCCAATTTGGGGAAAAAAATCCCCAATTTTTGGGACAAAAAAACCAATTTTTGGGACAAAAAAATCCAATTTTTGGGAAAAAAATCCCAATTTTTGGCAAAAAAATTCCAATTTTTGGCAAAAAAAATCACAATTTTTGGCAAAAATTCCAATTTTTGGGAAAAAAATCCCAATTTTTGGGAAAAAAATCCCAATTTTGGGGAAAAAAATCCCAATTTTTGGCAAAAAAAATCCAATTTTTGGCAAAAAAATCCCAATTTTTGGGAAAAATTCCAATTTTTGGGAAAAAAATCCCAATTTTTGGGGAAAAAAAATCCCAATTTTTGGGCAAAAAATCCCAATTTTTGGCAAAAATTCCAATTTTTGGGGAAAAAAAATCCCAATTTTTGGGAAAAAAATCCCAATTTTTGGGAAAAAAAATCCCAATTTTGGGGAAAAAAATCCCAATTTTTGGCAAAAAAAATCCAATTTTTGGCAAAAAAATCCCAATTTTTGGCAAAAAAATCCAATTTTTGGCAAAAAAATCCCAATTTTTGGGAAAAAAAATCCCAATTTTTGGGAAAAAATCCCAATTTTGGGGAAAAAATCCCAATTTTGGGGAAAAAAATCCCAATTTTTGGCAAAAAAATCCCAATTTTTGGCAAAAATCCCAATTTTTGGGAAAAAATCCCCAATTTTTGGGAAAAAATCCCAATTTTGGGAAAAAAATCCCAATTTTTGGGAAAAAATCCCAATTTTGGGGAAAAAAAATCCCAATTTTTGGGAAAAAAAATCCCAATTTTTGGCAAAATTCCAATTTTTGGCAAAAAAATCCCAATTTTTGGCAAAAAAATCCCAATTTTTTGGGAAAAAATCCCAATTTTGGGGAAAAAAAATCCCAATTTTTGGGGAAAAAAATCCCAATTTTGGGGAAAAAAATCCCAATTTTTGGCAAAAAAATTCCAATTTTTGGCAAAAATCCCAATTTTTGGGAAAAAAATCCCAATTTTTGGGAAAAAATCCCAATTTTGGGGAAAAAAAATCCCAATTTTTGGCAAAAAAAATCCAATTTTTGGGAAAAAAATCCCAATTTTTGGGAAAAAAAAATCCCAATTTTGGGGAAAAAAATCCCAATTTTGGGGAAAAAAATCCCAATTTTGGGGGAAAAAAATCCCAATTTTTTGGCAAAAAAATCCCCAAAATTTGGCAAAAAAATCCCAATTTTTGGGAAAAAAATCCCAATTTTTGGCAAAAAAATCCAATTTTTGGGAAAAAAAATCCCAATTTTTGGGAAAAAAATCCCAATTTTGGGGGAAAAAAAATCCCAGTTTTGGGGAAAAAAATCCCAATTTTGGGAGTTTTAGGGGGATTTGGGGATTTTCGTGGGGAATTTGGGGTGGATTTGAGGAATTTTTGGGTCTCCCAGATTTGGAGATTTTTAGGGGGATTTTGGGGGAGATTAGATTTTTGGGTGGAATTTGGGGTTTTGGGGAGGATTTAGGGGGATATTTGGGGGGAGATTTTGGGGGGATTTTGGGGGGATTTTGGGGGGGATTTGGGGAGATTTTGGGGGAGATTTTTTTGGGTGGAATTTGGGGTGTTTGGGGAGGATTTTGGGGATTTTTGGGTGGAATTTGGGGGATTTAGGGGAATATTTTAGGGGGGATTTGGGGTTTTGGGGGGAGATTTTTTGGGTGGAATTTGGGGTTTTGGGGAGGATTTTGGGGGGATTTTGGGGTGGAATTTGGGGTTTTTGGGGAGGATTTTGGGGATTTTAGGACAATTTGTGAGGAGATTTTGGGGGGAATTTGGGGATTTTGGGGGGAGATTTTGGGGAGATTTTTGGGTTGAATTTGGGGTTTTTGGGGAGGATTTTGGGGATTTTGGGACAATTTGTGAGGAGATTTTGCGGGATTTTGGGTAGATTTTTTGGGTGGATTTGGGGGATTTTGGGGGAGATTTTTTGGGTGGAATTTGGGGTTTTTGGGGAGGATTTTGGGGATTTTAGGACAATTTGTGAGGAGATTTTGGGGGGAATTTGGGGGTTTTGGGGGGAGATTTTGGGGGGATTTTGGGGTGGAATTTGGGGTTTTGGGGAGGATTTATGGGGGATTTTTGGGGGGAATTTGAGGAATTTTTGGGTCTCCCAGATTTAGAGATTTTTAGGGTGGATTTTGGGGGAGATTTTTGGGTGGAATTTGGGGAGGATTTGGGGATTTAGGGGAATGTTTTAAGGTGGATTTGGGGGATTTTGGGGTTCCCCAAATTTCGGGGATTTGGGAAATTTTGGGGAGATTTTTTGATGGAATTTGGGGTTTTGGGAGGATTTTGGGGAATATTTTAGGGTGGACTTGGGGGATTTTTGCATCCCCTAGATTTGGGGTTTGGGGGATTTTGGGGGGGGATTTTGAGGATTTTGGGATCCCCCAGATTTGAGGATTTTAGGCCGATTTGTGGAGAGATTTTGGGGCAGATTTTGGGGGGATTCTGGGGGGAATTTGGAACATTTTGGGGTCCCTGGCCCTGCCCCCCCCCCAGGTGGAGGACGAGGTGTTCGAGGAGTTCTGCCGCGAGATCGGGGTCAGGAACATCCGCGAGTTCGAGGAGGAGAAGGTCAAGAGGCAGAACGAGATCGCCAAGAAAAGGTCAGGGCACCCCAAAAACCTCTCAGGGACCCCAAAAACCCCATCAGGGACCCCAAAAACACCTCAGGGTAACCTAAAAACCCTCAGGGACCCCCAAAAACCTCTCAGGGACCCCAAAAACCCCATCAGGGACCCCAGAAACCCCCGGGGACCCCAAAAAAAACCATTAAGGACCCCAAGAAACATCTCAAGAACCTCCAAGAACTTCTCAGGAACCCCAAAAAACCCCTCAGAGACCCCAAAAATCTCTGAGGAACCCCAAAAACCATCTCAAGGACCTCCAAAACCCCTCAGAGACCCCAAAAAAACCTCTGAGGAACCTCAATAAACATCTCAAGAACTTCTGAGGAACGGCAAAAACCCCTCAGAGACCCCAAAAAACCTCTCAAAGTCCCTAAAAAACCTCTGAGGAACCCCAACAAACATCTCAAGAACTTCTGAGGAACCCCAAAAACCCCTCAGAGTCCCCAAAAACCTCTGAGGAGCCCCAACAAACATCTCAAGAACCCCCAAGAACTTCTCAGGAACCTCAAAAAAACTTTCAGAGACCCCAAAACCCCTCAGAGTCCTCAAGAAACCCCTGAGGAACCTCAATAAACATCTCCAGAACCTCAAAAGTCTTCTGAGGACTCCAAAAAACATCTCAAGAACCTCAAAGAACTTCTCAGTAACCCCAAAAAAAACCTTCAGGGTCCTCAAAAACCCCTCAGAGACCCCAAAAAACCTCTGAGGAACCCCAAAAACCATCTCCAGAACTTCTGAGGAACCCCAAAAAAACCCCTTAGAGACCCCAAAAAACCCCTGAGGAACCCCAAAAACATCTCAAGAACATCCAAGAACTTCTCAGGAACCCCAAAAACCCGTTAGAGATCCCAAAAACCTCTGAAGAACCCCAGAAAACCTCTCAAAGTCCCCAAAAAACCTCTGAGGAACCCCAACAAACATCTCAAGAACCTCAAAGAACTTCTCAGGAACCCCAAAAAAACCTTCAGAGACCCCAAAAATCCCTCAAGGACCCCAAAAAACCTCTCAGAGTCCCCAAAAAAACCTCTTAGGAACCCCAAAAACCATCTCTAGGACCTCCAAAACCCCTCAGAGACCCCAAAAAACCTCTGAGGAACCCAAACAAACATCTCAAGAACTTCTCAGGAACCTCAAAAAACCCCTTAGAGACCCAAAAAAACCATCAAGGACCCCAACAAACATCTCAAGAACATCCAAGAACTTCTCAGGAACCCCAAAAACCCCTCGGAGACCCCAAAAAACCTCTGAGGAACCCTAAAAACATCTCAAGAACCTCTGAGGAACCTCTCTGGTGTCCCCCAGGCTGGAGTTCGAGAACCAGAAGACGCGCTTGGGCATCCAGCTGGACTTCGAGCGCAACCAACTGCGGGAGGACCAGGAGAAGGTGCTGATGTGGGAGCAGGGCGTGCGCAAGGACGAGGCCGAGATCGAGAAGCTCAAGAAGGTTTGGGGACCTTCGGGTTCTTCTGGGTTCTTTGGGGACTTTTGGGGTTTATTTTGGGGGTTTTTGAGGAGTTTTGGGGTCTTGGGATGGTCAAGGTGGAGAAGAGCTGAGATGGGACCAGGGAGAGCAGAAGGACAGGAGAAGTTGAGAAGGTTTGGGACCTTTGTGTTCTTCTGGGTTCTTTGGGGACTTTTGGGGGTTTTTTTGGGGTTTTTGAGGAGTTTTGGGGTCTCAGGAGGTCCAAGGTGGAGAAGACCTGAGGTGGGACCAGGAGAGTGCAAGGACGAGGCCAAGATGGAGAAGGTCCAGAAGGTTTTGGGGACCTTCGGGTTCTTCTGGGTTCTTTTGGAGCTTTTTGGGATTTTTTGGGGGTTTTTTGAGGAGTTTTGGGGTCTTGAGACTCTCAAGGTGGAGAAGAGCTGAGGTGGGACCAGGGAGAGCAGAAGGACAGGAGAAATTGAGAAGGTTTGGGACCTTTGGGTTCTTCTGGGGTTTTTTTGGGATTTTTTGGGGGTTTTTGAGGTGTTTTGGTGTCTCAGGATGGTCACGGTGGAGAAGAGCTGAGGTGACACCAGGAGAGCACAAGGATGAGGCCGAGATTGAGAAGCTCAAGAAGATTTTGGGGTTTTTTTGGGTTTTTTGGCATTTTCTTCAGGAGGAGCAGCGGCACATGAAGACCATCGATAACTTTGGGTCATTTTGCCCATTTTTGACCATTTTTGACCATTTTTGCCCGTTTTTCAGGAGGAGCAGCGGCACATGAAGACCATCGATAACTTTGGGTTACTTTGTCCATTTTTGTCCATTTTTGACCATTTTTTGGGTGGTTTTTCAGCAGGACCTGCAGCACAATGAAGACCACTGATAATTTTTGCCCATTTTTGACCATTTTTGACCATTTTTGGTGGTTTTTCCCCAGGAGGAGCAGCGGCACATGAAGACCATCGATAACTTTGGGTTATTTTGGGTTATTTTGGGTTCTTTTGTCCATTTTTGACCATTTTTGGTGGTTTTTCCCCAGGAGGAGCAGCGGCACATGAAGACCATCGATAACTTTGGGTTCTTTTGCCCATTTTTGACCATTTTTGGGTGGTTTTTCAGCAGGACCTGCAGCACAATGAAGACCACTGATAATTTTTGTCCATTTTTGACCATTTTTGCCCATTTTTGGCCGTTTTTCAGGAGGAGCAGTGGCACATGAAGACCATCGATAACTTTGGGTTCTTTTGGGTTATTTTGGGTTCTTTTGTCCATTTTTGCCCATTTTTGGTGGTTTTTCAGGAGGAGCAGCGGCACATGAAGACCATCAATGGGTTACTTTGTCCATTTTTGTCCATTTTTGCCCATTTCTGGTGGTTTTTCCCCAGGAGGAGCAGCGGCACATGAAGACCATCGATAACTTTGGGTTATTTTGGGTTCTTTTGTCCATTTTTGCCCATTTTTGGTGGTTTTTCCTCAGGAGGAGCAGCGGCACGTGAAGACCATCGATAACTTTGGGTTCTTTTGTCCATTTTTGCCCGTTTTTGGCCGTTTTTCAGGAGGAGCAGCGGCACATGAAGACCATCGATAACTTTGGGTTCTTTTGGGTTATTTTACCCATTTTTGTCCATTTTTGCCCATTTTTGGCCGTTTTTCAGGAGGAGCAGCAGCACATGAAGACCATCGATAACTTTGGGTTCTTTTGTCCATTTTTGCCCATTTTTGGCCGTTTTTCAGGAGGAGCAGCGGCACATGAAGACCATCGATAACTTTGGGTTCTTTTGTCCATTTTTGCCCGGTTTTGGCCGTTTTTCAGGAGGAGCAGCGGCACATGAAGATCATTGACGAGACCATGGCGCAGCTGCAGGACCTCAAGAACCAACACCTGGCCAAGAAGTCGGAGGTGAACGACAAAAACCACGAGATGGACGAGATCCGCAAGAAGCTGGGCGGGGCCAACAAGTGAGGGCGGGGCCTCATGGGGCGTGGCCAACGAGGGGGGGCGGGGCCTAATGGGGCATGGCCAGGAAAAAGGGGTGGGGCCAATGAGGGCAGGGCCAATGATGGAGTGTGGGCATCAAATGGGGGTGGGGCCAGAAAAGGGGGTGGGGCCAATGAGGGCAGGGCCAATGAGGGGCTGTGGCCAACAAGTGAGGGCGGGGCCTAAACGGGTGGGGCCAGCCAAAAGGGGTGGGGCCAGTGAGGGGGTGTGAGCATCAAGTAAGGGTGGGGCCTAAAGGGGTGTGACAAGGGGGTGTGGCCAACACGGGGTGTGGCCAGTAAAAGGGGTGTGGTCAAGAAGTGAGGGTGATGTCAAATGGGTGGGGACAAATTGAGGGTGTGGTCAATGGGTGGGGCTAAAGGGGTGTGGCCCTTGTGGGTGTGTCTGTGGTGGGTGTGTCCATGGTGGGTGTGTCCCTTTGGGTGTGTCCCCTGCCATGTCCCCATGTCCTGTCCCCATTCGTTGTCCCCCTTCTGTGTCCCCACTGCCCTGTCCCCACCATGTCCCTGTCCCCGTGCCCTGTCCCCACACCGTGTCCCCGTGTCCCTGTCCCCACCATGTCCCTGTCCCCGTGCCCTGTCCCCACACCGTGTCCCCGTGTCCCTGTCCCCACCATGTCCCTGTCCCCGTGCCCTGTCCCCACACCGTGTCCCCGTGTCCCCACCACATCCCTGTGTCCCCACTGCCCTGTCCCCCATGCCATGTCCCCATTCTGTGTCCCCACACCATGTCCCATCCCCTGTCCCCACACCCTGACCCCTCCATGTCCCCTGCCATGTCCCCACACTGTGTCCCCACCATGTCCCCGTCTCCATTCCCCGTCCCTGTGTCCCTGTCCTCCTGTCCCCGTCCCCCATGTCATATCCCTGTCCCCACACCGTGTCCCTGTCCTCACCATGTCCCCATCCCCTGTCCCCACCATGTCCCCATGTCCCTGTCCCCATTCCCTGTCCCTCTGTCCTTCTCCACGTCTTCACCATGTCCCCATGTCCCTGTCCCCACACCATGTCCCTGCCCCAACACATCCCCGTGTCCCTGTCCCCATGCCCTGTCCCCATTCCCTGTCCCCATGTCCCTGTCCTCATGCCCCTGTCCCCACACCATGTCCCCTGCCATGTCCCCATCTCCTGTCCCCATTCCCTGTCCCTGTGTCCTCCTCCATGTCCCTGTGTCCCTGTCCCCACTGTGTCCCCATTCCCCTGTTCCCACCATGTCCCCGTGTCTTTGTCCTCACCATGTCCCCATGTCCCTGTCCCCTGTCTCCGTGTCCCTGTCCCCCATTCCCGGTCCCTGTGTCCTTCTCCCTGTCCCTGTCCCCACTCCATGTCCCCATGTCCTTGTCCCCACACCATGTCCCCATCTCCTGTCCGCCTGTCCCTATGTCCCTGTCCCCATCTCCTGTCTCCACACCATGTCCTACTCCATGTCCCTGTCCCCACCATGTCCTCCTGTCCCTGTCCCCTGCCCTGTCCCCATTCCCTGTCCCCACACCGTGTCCCCACACCGTGTCCCCATGTCCCTGTCCCCACCATGTCCCCCTGTCCCCACCACATCCCCATGCCCTGTTCCCACCGTGTCCCTGTCCCCGTGTCCCCAGGGAGATGACGCACCTGCAGAGGGAGGTGACGGCCATCGAGACCCAGTGTCCCTGTCCCCACACTGTGTCCCCATGTCCCTGTCCCTGTCCCTGTCCCCACCGTGTCCCCGTGTCCCCAGGGAGATGACCCACCTGCAGAAGGAGGTGACGGCCATCGAGACCCAGTGTCCCTGTCCCCACACTGTGTCCCTGTCCCCATGCTGTGTCCCTGTGTCCCCACGCTGTGTCCCCATGTCCCTGTCCCCACCGTGTCCCTGTCCCCAGGGAGATGACGCACCTGCAGAAGGAGGTGACGGCCATCGAGACCCAGTGTCCCTGTCCCCATGGTGTCCCTGTCCCCGTGTCCCCAGGGAGATGACGCACCTGCAGAAGGAGGTGACGGCCATCGAGACCCAGTGTCCCTGTCCCCATGGTGTCCCTGTCCCCGTGTCCCCAGGGAGATGACGCACCTGCAGAAGGAGGTGACGGCCATCGAGACCAAGCTGGAGCAGAAGCGCAGCGACCGCCACAACCTCCTGCAGGCCTGCAAGATGCAGGACATCCGTCTGCCGCTGGCCAGGGGCTCCATGGACGACATCAGCCAGGAGGAGGTGACACCTGGGGACACCCCCGGGACACCCCGTGACACCCCTGTGACACCCCTGTCCTCCTGTGTCACACTGAGCCACACCTGTCCGTCTGTGTCACCCCCTGTCCTTCTTTGTCACCCTCTGTCCTGCCGCTGGCCAGGGGCTCCATGGACGACGTCAGCCAGGAGGAGGTGACACCTGGGGACACCCCCCGTACCCCATTGTGTCCCCATTGTCCCCTCAGGGTGGTGGCACCGGAGAGGACCCTGGTGGCAGCTCCAGCCATGTCCCCTGTATCACTCTATGTGTCCCCATTGTCCCCTCAGGGTGGTGGCACCGGAGAGGTCCCTGTGTCACTCTGATTGTCCCCTCAGGGCGGTGGCACGGGTGAGGACACCAGTGTCACCCTCATTGTCCCCATTGTCCCCTCAGGGCGGTGGCACGGGTGAGGTCCCTGTGTCACTCTGGGTGTCCCCATTGTCCCCTCAGGGCGGTGGCACGGGTGAGGTCCCTGTGTCACTCTGGGTGTCCCCATTGTCCCCTCAGGGCGGTGGCACGGGTGAGGTCCCTGTGTCACTCTGGGTGTCCCCATTGTCCCCTCAGGGCGGTGGCACGGGTGAGGACGCCGGTGTCACCCTCATTGTCCCCATTGTCCCCTCAGGGCGGTGGCGCGGGTGAGGTCCCTGTGTCACCCTCATTGTCCCCATTGTCCCCTCAGGGCGGTGGCACGGGTGAGGTCCCTGTGTCACTCTGGGTGTCCCCATTGTCCCCTCAGGGCGGTGGCGCGGGTGAGGTCCCTGTGTCACTCTGGGTGTCCCCATTGTCCCCTCAGGGCGGTGGCACGGGTGAGGTCCCTGTGTCACCCTCATTGTCCCCATTGTCCCCTCAGGGCGGTGGCGCGGGTGAGGTCCCTGTGTCACCCTCATTGTCCCCATTGTCCCCTCAGGGCGGTGGCGCGGGTGAGGTCCCTGTGTCACCCTCATTGTCCCCATTGTCCCCTCAGGGCGGTGGCACGGGTGAGGTCCCTGTGTCACTCTGGGTGTCCCCATTGTCCCCTCAGGGCGGTGGCACCGGTGAGGTCCCTGTGTCACCCTCATTGTCCCCATTGTCCCCTCAGGGCGGTGGCGCGGGTGAGGTCCCTGTGTCACCCTCATTGTCCCCATTGTCCCCTCAGGGCGGTGGCACGGGTGAGGACGCCGGGGGCAGCTCCCAGCGCAGCTCCAGCCTCTACGCCCGCGAGGCCCTGATCGAGATCGACTACAGCGACCTGCCCGAGGAGCTCAAGGTGACACACCTGGGCACCGCGGGCACACCTGGGCACCGCGGGCACACCTGGGCACGGCTGGGCACCGCAGGCACAGCTGGGCACGGCTGGGCGTGTCCCACACACCTGGGCATGGCTGGGCGTGTCCCACACACCTGGGCACCGCGGGCACACCTGGGCACGGCTGGGCGTGTCCCACACACCTGGGCACAGCGGGCACACCTGGGCACCGCGGGCACACCTGGGCACAGCGGGCACACCTGGGCACGGCTGGGCGTGTCCCACACACCTGGGCACAGCGGGCACACCTGGGCACAGCGGGCACACCTGGGCACGGCTGGGCGTGTCCCACACACCTGGGCACAGCGGGCACACCTGGGCACGGCTGGGCGTGTCCCACACACCTGGGCATGGCCGGGCACAGCTGGGCACGGCTGGGCGTGTCCCACACACCTGGGCACAGCGGGCACACCTGGGCACAGCGGGCACATCCTGGGCATGGCTGGGCACACCTGGGCACAGCGGGCACACCTGGGCATGGCTGGGTACACCTGGGTACGCTCTGGACACGCTTGGACATACCTGGGCACACCTGGGTATATCTGGCACACCTGGGCACGGCCCAACACACCTGGGCACACCTGGGCATGGCCTGGGTACACATGGGCACACCTGGGTACACCCTGGGCACACCTGGGCATAGCCTGGGCACACCTCACACACCTGGGCATAGCCTGGGCATGCCTGGTACACCTTGGTACACCTGGGCATGCCTGTGCACAACTGGACGTACCTGGGCATGGCCTGGGCACACCTGGGTGCACCTGGGCACACCTGGGCATGCCCTCGACAGACCTGGGCACACCCAACACACCTGAGCACACCTGGGTACACCTGGGCTTGGCCTGGGCACACATGGGCATGTCTGGGTACACCTGGGCACATCTTGGGCACACCTGGGCATGTCTGGGCACACCCAGCACACCTGGGCACACCTGGGCACACCCCAACATTCCTGGGCATGCCTGGACATGTCCCCGTGTCCCCAATGTCCCCTGATGTCCCCAATGTCCCCATGTCCCCAATGTCCCCGTGTCCCCAATGTCCCCTGATGTCCCCAATGTCCCCAATGTCCCTCACACCCCTGATATCCCCAATGTCCCCAGGATGCCCAGGCCGAGGAGGAGATCCGGCAGGAGATGGCCGCGCTGCAGCAGCGGCTGTGTCCCCGTGTCCCCAATGTCCCCATGTCCCCAATGTCCCCAGGACGCCCAGGCCGAGGAGGAGATCCGGCAGGAGATGGCCGCGCTGCAGCAGCGGCTCTGTCCCCGTGTCCCCAATGTCCCCGTGTCCCCAATGTCCCCATGTCCCCAATGTCCCCCATGTCCCCATGTCCCCAGGACGCGCAGGCCGAGGAGGAGATCCGGCAGGAGATGGCCGCGCTGCAGCAGCGGCTGTGTCCCCGTGTCCCCAATGTCCCCAATGTCCCCATGTCCCCAATGTCCCCAGGACGCGCAGGCCGAGGAGGAGATCCGGCAGGAGATGGCCGCGCTGCAGCAGCGGCTGACGGAGCAGCAGAGCGTCCTGCAGCGCATCGCCGCCCCCAACATGAAAGCCATGGAGAAACTGGAGAGCGTCAGGGACAAGTTCCAGGAGACCTCGGATGGTGGGGACACCGTGGGGACACTGTGGGGACATGGGGGGGACATGAGGGGGACAAGTTCCAGGAGACCTCGGATGGTGGGGACACCATGGGGACACTGAGGGGACACAACGGGGACAAGTTCTAGAAGATTTCGGATGGTGGGACACCATGGGGACACGGGGGGAGAAGTTCCAGGAGACCTCGGATGGTGGGACCTGTGGGGACACCGTGGGGACACCATGGGGACAAGTTCCAGGAGACTTTGGAGGGTGGGACACCATGGGGACGTTGGGGGGACATGGGACAGTGTCTGTGACAAGTTCCAGGAGACCTCTGATGGTGGGACATGGGGGGTGTGGAGGGGACATGGAGTGTCCCCTGGGTGTCTGCGATGTCCCCTGGTTGTCCCTGGTGTCCCCAATGTCCCCCAATTGCCCCCAGAGTTTGAGGCCGCCCGTAAATGCTCCAAGAGGGCCAAGCAGGGCTGTCCTGACCCCAGTGTCCCCATGGTGTCCCCAGTGTCCCTGTGGCTGTCCCTGGGTGTCAGTGATGTCCCCAGTGTCCCCATGGTGTCCCCAGTGTCCCTGTGGCTGTCCCTGGGTGTCTGTGATGTCCCCAGTGTCCCCATGGTGTCCCCAGTGTCCCTGTGGCTGTCCCTGGGTGTCTGTGATGTCCCCAATGTCCCCTGATGTCCTCATGGATGTCCCCAGCTGTCCCCTGATGTCCCCCCAGAGTTCGAGGCCGCCCGCAAGCGCGCCAAGAGGGCCGAGCAGGGCTGTCCTGACCCCAGTGTCCCCGTGGCTGTCCCTGGGTGTCAGTGATGTCCCCAGTGTCCCCATGGTGTCCCCAGTGTCCCTGTGGCTGTCCCTGGGTGTCAGTGATGTCCCCAGTGTCCCCATGGTGTCCCCAGTGTCCCTGTGGCTGTCCCTGGGTGTCTGTGATGTCCCCAATGTCCCCAGCTGTCCCCTGCTGTCCCCGTGGCTGTCCCTGGGTGTCTGTGATGTCCTCATGGATGTCCCCAGCTGTCCCCTGCTGTCCCCAGAGTTCGAGGCCGCCCGCAAGCGCGCCAAGAAGGCCAAGCAGGCGTTTGAGCAGATGAAGAAGGAGCGCTTCGACCGCTTCAACTCCTGCTTCGAGGCCGTGGCCACCAACATCGACGAGATCTACAAAGCGCTGTCCCGGAACAGCAGCGCGCAGGTGGGCACACCTGGGCACACCTGGGCACACACCTGTTACACACAGCGCTGTCCCGGAACAGCAGCGCGCAGGTGGGCACACCTGGGCACACACCTGGGCACACCTGGGCACACCTGGGCACACACCTGGGCACACACCTGGGCACACACCTGGGCACGGGGCTGGCACACACCTGGGCACACCTGGGCACACACCTGGGCACACCTGGGCACACACCTGGGCACACACCTGGGCACACACCTGGGCACGGGGCTGGCACACACCTGGGCACACACCTGGGCACACCTGGGCACACACCTGTTACACACAGCACTGTCCCGGAACAGCAGCGCGCAGGTGGGCACACCTGGGCACACAGCTGGGCACACACCTGGGCACACCTGGGGGGCACACACCTGGGCACACACCTGGGCACACACCTGGGCATCAGGGGGCACACACCTGGGAACACACCTGGGCACACACTTGGGCAGGTGGGCATGGGGCTGGCACACACCTGGGCACCTGGGGGGCACACACCTGGGCACCTGGGGGGCACCTGGGCAGGCTGGCACAGCTGGCACACACAGCGCTGTCCTGGAACAGCAGTGCACAGGTGGGCACACCTGGGCAGGGCTGGCACACACCTGGGCAGGTGGGCACCGGACTGGGCACACACCTGGGCACGGGGCTGGCACACACCTGGGGGGGCACACACCTGGGCACACACCTGGGCACACCTGGGGGGGCACACACCTGGGCACACACCTGGGCACACACCTGGGCACGGGGCTGGCACACACCTGGGGGGGCACACACCTGGGCACACACCTGGGGGGGCACACACCTGGGCACGGGGCTGGCACACACCTGGGGGGGCACACACCTGGGCACACACCTGGGCACACACCTGGGCACACACCTGGGCACACACCTGGGGGGGCACACACCTGGGCACACACCTGGGCACGGGGCTGGCACACACCTGGGGGGGCACACACCTGGGCACACACCTGGGCACACACCTGGGCACACACCTGGGCACGGGGCTGGCACACACCTGGGGGGGCACACACCTGGGCACACACCTGGGCACACACCTGGGCACACACCTGGGCACGGGGCTGGCACAGGGCTGGCCCCGCCCAGCCCCAGGTGTTCCTGGGCCCCAGGGAGCCCTGGCTGTGACACCTGGGTCACCTCAGTGTCCCCTCAATGTCCCCAATGTCTCCAATGTCACCTCAATGTCCTCGATGTCCCCAGTGTCACCTGTGCCACCTGAATGTCCCCAGTGATGTCCCCAATGTCCCCTCAGGCCTTTTTAGGACCAGAGAACCCGGAGGAGCCGCACCTGGATGGCATCAATGACAATGTGTCACCTCAATGTCACCAATGTTCTCTGTGTCCCTATCGTCCCCAATGTCCCAATGATGTCCCCATGTCCCCTGAGTGTCCCCAGTGATGTCCCCAATGTCCCCTCAGGCGTTCCTGGGCCCCGAGAACCCGGAGGAGCCGTACCTGGACGGCATCAATGACAGTGTGTCGCCTCAATGTCCCCAGTGTCACCAATGTCCCCAGTGTCACCTGTGCCATCTCAGTGTCCCCAATGATGTCCCCAATGTCCCCTCAGGCATTTTTAGGCCCCGAGAACCCGGAGGAGCCGTACCTGGACGGCATCAATTACAATTGCGTCGCCCCCGGGAAGCGTTTCCGGCCCATGGACAACCTGTCAGGGGGGGAGAAAACCGTGGCAGCGCTGGCCCTGCTCTTCGCCATCCACAGGTGGGACCCCAAAAACACCCGGGGGGACCCCAAAAACCCGGGGGGACCCCAAAAACCCCAAGGGAAAACCCAAAATCCCGGGAGAAATCCTAAAAATCCCAAGGAAATCCCCAAAAATCCCCAAAATCCCCCTCTGGCTGCCCTGGCCCTGCTCTTGGCCATCCACAGGTGGGACCCCAAAATTCATCTGGGAGACGCCAAAATCCATTTGGGGGACCCCAAAAACCCCAAGGGAAACCCTAAAATCCCCAAGGGAAATCCAAAATCCTGGGAGAAAACCCAAAAATCCCAGGGGAAATCCCAAAAAAAATCCCCCTTTGGCTGCCCTGGCCCTGCTCTTCGCCATCCGCAGGTGGGACCCCAAAAACACCCGGGGGGACCCCAAAAACACCTGAGGGGACCCCAAAAACACCCGGGGGGACCCCAAAAATCCAGGAGATCCCAAAAACTCCAAGGGAAAACCCAAAATCCCCGAGGGAAATCCTAAAATCCCCAAGAAAGTCCCGGAAAAATCCCCAAAATCCCCCTCTGGCTGCCCTGGCCCTGCTCTTGGCCATCCACAGGTGGGACCCCAAAAACACCCGGGGGGACCCCAAAAACCCGGGGGGACCCCAAAAACCCCAAGGGAAACCCTAAAATCCCCAAGGGAAATCCTAAAATCCCCAAGAAAATCCCAGAAAAATCCCCAAAACCCCAAGGGAAATCCCCAAAATCCCCCTCTGGCTGCCCTGGCCCTGCCCTTGGCCATCCACAAAATTCATGTGGGAGACCCCAAAAATCCAGGGGTACCCCAAAAACCCCAGGGAGAATCACAAAATCGCCAGGAAAATCCCAAAAACCCCAAGGGAAATCACCCAAATCTGGGGATTTCTGGGGTTCCCCACTTTTGGGGTGCCCATTTTCGGGGTTCCCCAGTTTCGGGGTGTCCCGGTTTGGGGTTCTAATTTTTGGGGTCCCCCCCAATTTCGGGGCCTCACCCACTCTCCCTGCAGTTACAAGCTGGCCCCATTTGGGGTTCCCCATTTTCGGGGTGTCCCATTTTCGGAGTGCCCAGTTTGGGGTCTCATCCCAGTTTTGGGGTGCCCATTTTCGGGGTTCCCACTTTTGGGGTGCCCCACTTCTGGAGTGTCCCTTTTTGGGGTGCCCAGTTTTTGGTCTCAGCCCAGTTTCAGGGTTCCCCAGTTTTGGGGTGTCCCTTTTTGGGGTGTCCCAGTTTTGGGGTCTCCCACTTTCAGGGTGTCCCAGTTTCGGGGTGTCCCTTTTTGGGGTGTCCCAGTTTTGGGGTTCCCCACTTTCGGAGTGTCCCAGTTTCGGGGTTCCCATTTTTGGGGTTCCCATTTTTGGGGTGCCCAGTTTCGGGGTCTCACCCGCTTTCCCCGCAGTTACAAGCCAGCCCCACTTTTGGGGTCTCCCACTTTCGGGGTGTCCCAGTTTTGGGGTGTCCCTTTTTGGGGTCCCCCCATTTTCGGGGTTCCCCAGTTTCAGGGTGGCCCAGTTTGGGGTTCCCATTTTTGGGGTTCCCCACTTTCGGGGTGTCCCAATTTCGGGGTCTCACCCGCTTTCCCCGCAGTTACAAGCCAGCCCCACTTTTGGGGTGTCCCATTTTCGGGGTGTCCCAGTTTGGGGTTCCCCACTTTTGGGATGTCCCTTTTTGGGGTCTCCCATTTTTGGGGTTCCCCACTTTCGGGGTGTCCCAGTTTCCGGGTGTCCCTTTTCAGGGTTCCCCACTTTCGGGGTGCCCATTTTCGGGGTTCCGCAGTTTTGGGGAGTCCCAGTTTGGGGTTCCCCACTTTTGGGGTGTCCCAGTGTTGGGGTCTCACCCGCTGTCCCCGCAGTTACAAGCCGGCCCCGTTTGGGGTGTCCCTTTTTGGGGTTCCCCAGTTTTGAGGTGTCCCAGTTTCGGGGCCTCACCCACTCTCCCTGCAGTTACAAGCCGGCCCCATTTGGGGTTCCCCATTTTCGGGGTGTCCCATTTTCGGGGTGCCCCAGTTTTGGGGTGCCCAGATGGGGTCTCAGCCCAGTTTTGGGGTGCCCATTTTCGGGGTTCCCCAGTTTCAGGGTGGCCCAGTTTGGGATGTCCCAGTTTTGGGGTCCCCCAGTTTCGGGGTCTCACCCCGGTCTCCTCTCAGTTACAAGCCGGCCCTGTTTGGGGTTCCCCACTTTTGGGGTGTCCCAGTTTCGGGGTCCCCCCATTTTCGGGGTCTCACCCGCTGTCCCCGCAGTTACAAGCTGGCCCCGTTTGGGGTGTCCCAGTTTGGGGTTCCCCACTTTCGGGGTGCCCCAGTTTCGGGGTCCCCCCATTTTCGGGGTCTCACCCGCCGTCCCCGCAGTTACAAGCCGGCCCCGTTCTTCGTGCTGGACGAGATCGACGCCGCGCTGGACAACACCAACATCGGCAAGGTGGGAATTTGGGGGGGCCCCTCCCCATTTTTGGGGGTCCTCTCCCCTTTTTTCGTGTCCCTTCCCCTTTTTTGGGGTCCCCTCCTCATTTTGGGGGGCTCCCTTTCCCATTTTGGGGCTCCCCCTGTGGGATTTTGGGGTCACCCCAACCCCATTTTCACCCCCATGGAGCTGATTTTTGCACCTCCAACCCCCAAATTTTGGGGCTCCCCTCCCAATTTTGGGGTTCCTCAACCGATTTTTGGGGTGCCCTCTCCATTTTTGGGGTCCTCCACCCCAATTTTGGGGTCCCTTCCTCATTTTAAGGCTCATCCGTGGGATTTTGAGGTCACCCAAATCTCATTTTCACCCCCAACCCCCAAATTTTGGGGCTCCCCTTCCCAATTTTGGGGTTCCCCAACCGATTTTTGGGGTTCCCCCCCTAATTTTGGGGTCTCCACCCCAGTTTTGGGGCTCCCCCTGTCAAGTTTTGGGGTCTGGGGGTGTCACCCCAACCTCCCCCAGCCCCATTTCTGTGCCCCAGGGAGGGATTTTGTCTCCCCAGCTCCCAATTTTGGGGTTCCCCATCCAATTTTGGGGTTCTACACCCCAATTTTGGGGGTCCCCTCCACATTTTGGGGCCCTTCCCAATTTTGGGGGTCCCCTCCTCAGTTTGGGGCTCCTCCTGTGGGATTTTGGGGTCACCCCAATCTCATTTCCCCCCTCATGGAGCCGATTTTGTGCCCCCACCCCCAAATTTTGGGGCTCCCCAGGTTCGGTTTTTGGGGTGCCCGGTGCATTTTCTGTGGTGCCAGGGTTGTTTTTGGGGCACCAGGTCCATTTTTTCGGGGTGCCAAGTCCATTTTTTGAGGTTTCAGGTTCATTTTTTGGGGTGCAGAAGCAGTTTTTGGGGCGTTAAGTGTATTTTCTGGGGTGCCAGGGTTGTTTTTGGGGTGCCAAGTCCATTTTTTGAGGTTTCAGGTTCATTTTTTGGGGTGCCCAAGTTATTTTTGGGGTGCCAGGTTCGTGTTTTGAGTGCCAGGGTTGTTTTTGGGGTGCCAAGTCCATTTTTTGAGGTTTAAGCTCCATTTTGGGGGTGCCAGGTCTGGTTTTTTGAGGTTCTTGGTTCATTTTTTTGGGCTTTCAAGGCCATTTTTCGAGGTGCCAGGTTCATTTTTTGGGATTTTAGGTTCATTTTTTGGGGTGCCAAGCCCATTTTTTGGGTGCCAAGCCCATTTTTGGGGGTTCCAAGCCCATTTTTGGAGGTTCCAAGCCCATTTTTGGAGGTGCCAAGCCCATTTTTGGGGTTCCAAGCCCATTTTTGGGGGTGCCAAGCCCATTTTTTGGGGCGCCAAGCCCATTTTTGGGGTGCCAAGCGCATTTTTGGGGGTGCCAAGCGCATTTTTGGGGGTGCCAAGCGCATTTTTTGGGGCGCCAAGCCCATTTTTGGGGTTCCAAGCCCATTTTTGGGGGTTCCAAGCCCATTTTTGGAGGTTCCAAGCCCATTTTTGGGGTGCCAAGCCCATTTTTTGGGGTGCCAAGCCCATTTTTTGGAGGTGCCAAGCCCATTTTTGGGGTTCCAAGCCCATTTTTGGGGGTGCCAAGCCCATTTTGGGGTGCCAAGCCCATTTTTTGGGGTGCCAAGCCCATTTTTTGGAGGTGCCAAGCCCATTTTTGGGGTTCCAAGCCCATTTTTTGGGGTGCCAAGCCCATTTTTGGAGGTTCCAAGCCCATTTTTGGAGGTTCCAAGCCCATTTTTGGAGGTGCCAAGCCCATTTTTGGGGGTGCCAAGCCCATTTTTGGGGTGCCAAGCGCATTTTTGGGGTGCCAAGCCCATTTTTGGGGTGCCAAGCGCATTTTTTGGGGCGCCAAGCCCATTTTTGGGGTTCCAAGCCCATTTTTGGGGGTTCCAAGCCCATTTTTGGAGGTTCCAAGCCCATTTTTGGGGTGCCAAGCCCATTTTTTGGAGGTGCCAAGCCCATTTTTGGGGTTCCAAGCCCATTTTTTGGGGTGCCAAGCCCATTTTTGGAGGTTCCAAGCCCATTTTTGGGGTTCCAAGCCCATTTTTGGGGGTGCCAAGCCCATTTTTGGGGTTCCAAGCCCATTTTTGGAGGTTCCAAGCCCATTTTTGGGGGTGCCAAGCCCATTTTTGGAGGTTCCAAGCCCATTTTTTGGGGTGCCAAGCCCATTTTTGGAGGTTCCAAGCCCATTTTTTGGGGTGCCAAGCCCATTTTTGGGGTGCCAAGCCCATTTTTGGGGGTGCCAAGCCCATTTTTTGGGGCGCCAAGCCCATTTTTGGGGTGCCAAGCGCATTTTTGGGGGTTCCAAGCCCATTTTTGGGGTGCCAAGCCCATTTTTGGGGTCCCCAGGTGGCCAATTACATCAAGGAGCAGTCGGCCGCCAACTTCCAGGCCATCGTCATCTCCCTCAAGGAGGAATTTTACACCAAGGCCCAGAGCCTGATCGGCGTCTACCCCGAGGTACCAAAAAAATATCCCCAAAAACCGCCCAAATTCCCCTGAAATACCAAAAAATCCCCCTGAAATATCAAAAATCCCTAAAAACGGCCCCAAATTCCCCTGAAATACCCAAAAATCCCCAAAAACGGCCCCAAATTCCCCTGAAATACCAAAAATCCCTAAAAATGGCCCCTAATTCCCCTGAAATACCAAAGAATCCTCCTGAAATACCAAAAAAATCCCCAAAATCGGCCCCAAATTCCCCTGAAATACCAAAAAATCCCCCTGAAATATCAAAAATCCCTAAAAACGGCCCCAAATTCCCCTGAAATACCCAAAAATCCCCAAAACCAGCCTCAAATTCCCCTGAAATACCAAAAATCCCTAAAAATGGCCCCTAATTCCCCTGAAATACCAAAGAATCCTCCTGAAATACCAAAAAAATCCCCAAAATCGGCCCCAAATTCCCCTGAAATACCAAAAAATCCCCCTGAAATATCAAAAATCCCTAAAAACGGCCCCAAATTCCCCTGAAATACCCAAAAATCCCCAAAAACAGCCTCAAATTCCCCTGAAATACCAAAAATCCCTAAAAATGGCCCCAAATTCCCCTGAAATACCAAAAATTCCCCCTGAAATATCAAAAATCCCCAAACCGGCCCCAAATTCCCTTGAAATACCAAAAAAATCCCCCAAAAACGGCCCCAAATTGCCCTGAGACACAAAAAATACCCCTGAAATATCAAAAATCCCCAAAACAGCCCCAAATTCCCCTCAAATACCAAAAAATCCCCCTGAAATATCAAAAATCCCTAAAAACGGCCCCAAATTCCCCTGAAATACCAAAAAATCCCCAAAAACAGCCTCAAATTCCCCTGAAATACCAAAAATCCCTAAAAATGGCCCCTAATTCCCCTGAAATACCAAAGAATCCTCCTGAAATACCAAAAAAATCCCCAAAGTCGGCCCCAAATTCCCCTGAAATACCAAAAATTCCCCCTGAAATATCAAAAATCCCCAAACCGGCCCCAAATTCCCTTGAAATACCAAAAATCCCCCAAAAACGGCCCCAAATTGCCCTGAGACACAAAAAATACCCCTGAAATATCAAAAATCCCTAAAAACGGCCCCAAATTCCCCTGAAATACCAAAAAATCCCCAAAAATGGCCTCAAATTCCCTTGAAATAAAAAAATCCCCCAGAAATACCTAAAAAAATCCCCAAAAATGGCCTCAAATACCCCTGAAACACCAAAAAAATCCTCAAAAATGGTCCCAAAATCCCCTGAAACACCAAAAAATTCCCCTGAAATACCAAAAAATCCCCAAAAACGGCCCCAAATTCCCCTGAGACACCCAGAAATACCCCCAAAATACCCTTTAATACCCCAAAATATTCTTAAAT